TTTTAAAAATTAAAATAAATAAATGCAAACTTTTTTTAAAAAATATTAAAAAATCAAAAAAACTTATAATTACAATGAGATGCACCTCTGTCCTACTAATCCTACCTATACCATAACTAGTTCAGACGGCTTCTTGAGTTGAATTGACAAAATCGGTCGTTTTCGGCGACCAAACCAAATCCTCCAGGGTACGCTACCGTTGTGGGCTTTTTTTATAATGGGTCGTAAGTCCATTCTCAGTTGTGTATTGAGGCCCAATTTGGGTCCACTTATAGGTAGCCCAAAGTCTATATTCAATACAACGCCCCAATCATGCGAGGCCCAAGTAACACCATGCATGAATTGAAAACCAAATATTATTATTTGTTAAAATAACAATGTCTGTCAGATTACAAAATGACAGACAAACCGGTGTCATAGAATATGTCCCATCACCAACCACCCAAGACCCGGCATTTAGTCAAAGTTCACTTCCCATTTCCGTGCATTTTCTAGAACCCAATATGGACCCATATATATATATATATATATTTTTTTTTTTTTTATGGGAGGACCCTTAAATTTGTTAGAGTAATATGAATGTGTAAATTTTTATTTTAATTTAATTGTTAAAAATACATAATAATTAATAAAATAATTAATACTTATTATTTAATAAATTAAAATAAATTTATAAATAAAAATTTTAAATATTATAATAAAAAATTATAAATTAATAAAATTATAATTAAAATTATAATAATCTTAACAAAATAACATGTCCTTATAACCAACCTCAATAAAAGTAAAACATGTCAATTGTCAAAGCTTTTAGTGAAGGTGCACTTCCCATTTCCAAGCACTGTCGTTTTTCTTATTGCGTGTAGATTAGGCTGAAACTTTCTCCATTTTCATTGACAACCAAGCAACTACTAATACCATTTTCCTTTTCTTCGCTGCAACCTTTTCTTTCTAATTTTTCATTATTAGTTCCACTAATTAGTTATTAAAAAAATTAAGGGTGGGTGAGTTACGTTGAGTTCCCCCTTAGTTGAGTCCAAACTCTGAAACTGGTTGCTTGACATCCTTGTCACGTGAAAGAAAGATGATTATGATCACTACTGCATTCTCTTTCTTTCTCTCTTGTTGCAGATATTGGGCAAAACCCAGAGAAGGACATTGAAATCAAGAAGAGTTTTTTCATCAAGAAATGGGTCTTCTATCCTCATCCATTTCTGGGTCTTTCTTCAAATTCGTTTCTTGCTTCATTTTTAGTCTCCTTTTCCTCTCTTGCACGTGCTTCACTGCCACAGGTTAGCGGAGTTTTTGTTTTCCTTGTTTGAAGCTTTTGAGCTTGGAATCTTTGTCTTAATGGACTTTTACAAATTTTCTGTAATTTTTATGGCTTTTGTGTAATTTGGTAAATTTAGGAAGTGGGGTTTCTTGATTGACTTTAAGTTCTTGCATTTATTTGTTGCTTTTTAAGATATTTGAGGTATTGGGTTTTTCTAAAATATGTTATGGATAACATGGAATTCGATTGAACTCACTTCATGGAGGTTCACTGTTCACAGTGCAACACAACTTGCTTTTTTTGGTCCGCACCATAAAACTTGGTTGATAACTGTGAAAATCACAAGGATGTAAATTAAACTGATGCGTTTTCTTACCATAGGAGTGATGAAAGATAAAATTGTCTACAGAGAGCATGGTGTCTTCAGTCTGGATTCTTTTATCTTGGCCAAATTGATGATTTGGCTTGGGAATATTTGGCCGCTTTTTCTAGGCTAGACGAGTCATAAAGCTTATTTCTGTTATTAAAAAGATCTTTAGAATCTGAGAGGGGGAGCATTGATTCATTGATTACGATGGAGCTTGTCATGCCGCTTTGTATCAGTTCCCATGTTGATGAGACAACTGACCTGCCGAAATGGCAAAAATTGGCGTCAAACCTTATGGGGTTATGTCTAGTAATATGTTTTCCACTTAAATCTTTCACCTTGTTGGTATATGAACCTTTTAAACTCTGCCCTTTTACTTTCTAATGCCGATTCCCTACTTTTGTCAATGCAAATTCTTAATTTGTGAGAGATAAAGTTAAAATCTGAGATACATTTTGTCATTGATTTTCTTTTACCATCTCTTAATTTCAGAAGCATATGATCCACTCGATCCAAGTGGAAACATCACAATCAAATGGGATATCATGAGCTGGACTCCTGATGGATATGTTGTAAGTATTGGTGAATTTAGATATTTTACTTGGAGATAATTCATTTCTCTCCCTCTGGAATTACTACGTGATTGATGATTTAAATATTGCATTTTCATCTTGAAGCATTGAAATAGAGTTTTTAATGTCCAACCAAGTTCTGAATATTTCTGCTTGTGTTGAGACTTCTGAAGCAGTGAATCTTGCAATAGAACTTCTAAGAACATTTTCTTTAACTATAGTTCCTTGTGGTGTTCTATGCCAAGTGGTTGAGTTAGGTCTTAGTAAGAGCATGGGATCTTCAATGGGATTTAGTCTAACCCAAAAATGGCTGGAGATGTAATTGTCTTCTTAATGATATGGCAGGCTGTTGTCACAATCTACAACTTTCAACAATATCGCCATATTCAAGCACCAGGGTGGTCTTTGGGATGGACATGGGCAAAGAAGGAAGTAATATGGAGCATGATGGGAGGCCAGACCACAGAACAAGGGGATTGTTCAAGATTCAAAGGGAACATTCCACATTGCTGTAAGAAGAATCCAACTGTTGTGGATTTATTACCTGGAACCCCTTACAACCAGCAGATTGCAAATTGCTGCAAAGGGGGGGTGATAAACTCCTTGGCACAGGATCCAGCCACTGCAGCAGCTTCATTCCAGCTGAGTGTGGGTCAAGCTGGAACAACTAATAAGACAGTTAGAGTTCCTAAAAACTTCACTCTGAAGGCACCAGGGCCTGGATACACTTGTGGCCCAGCAAAAATTGTGAAACCCAGCAAATTCATAAGTGCTGATAAAAGGAGAGTCACACAAGCTTTGAGTAAGTTACTTAATAAAGATGTAGAAATCTTTGTATTTGTGCATTGTTTTCTGAAATTATCCAAAATTAACCTTTATGTCATGACCAATCTCTGTTTAAAAGGAGAAATGTCTTTAAAAATAACTGATAAATGGTGTTTACAATTGCATTTGGGCATTGAAGAAGTTTCAGCAAGCAGTTTTACTCATCTGATGCATTCTTTGAACTTTTACCTTTTGTAGATGGTTCTGATTGACTTATTTTCATTTTATGCTAGTGACATGGAATGTTACATGCACATATTCTCAATTCCTGGCTCAGAAAACTCCCACTTGCTGTGTCTCACTCTCATCCTTCTACAATAACACAATAGTACCCTGCCCAAGGTGTGCTTGTGGCTGCCAAAACACTTCTCAGTCTGGGAGCTGTATAGAGTAAGTTCTCTCTGCCAAAAGAATTGCATGTATGTTCATTGGATGTTACATGCATGTATTCTTATTTATCGGTGTCTAAAATATTTTGCCACTTATCTACAGCCCAAATGCTCCACATTTAGCATCAGTTGTTCCAAGTGCAGGAAAGAACAGCTATACACCTTTGGTCCAGTGTACAAACCATATGTGTCCAATCAGAGTCCATTGGCATGTTAAGCTGAACTATAAGGAGTACTGGCGTGTTAAAGTCACAATTACAAATTTCAATTACATTATGAATTACACACAGTGGAACCTAGTTGTGCAACATCCCAACTTTGACAATCTGACACAGATTTTCAGCTTTAACTATAAGCCATTAACTCCTTATGCAGCCATAAGTAAGTTCAATCCTTTGCACTCGGTCTTGTTTATTTTATGCATTTGCATCTCCTGCCATGTAAAGTCAGTCTGGACCAAGCAATTTTTTTGTACCATTTTCTATTCAAGAAATGGGCTTTTTTTATGATACTGTTATTATTATTCTTGTTTTGAGAGTAATGGATGGCAGTAGGGGTTAGGTATGGTTTTTTGTGTATTTTGGAACATGCTAATTTTCCTCTTTGCTTCCAATTCAACAATTGAACATTGAAAATGTTTAAGATTTTGTTTCTGAAGATTTTTTTGTATTACCTTCATCAATTTTCTTTACCTACTAATTTCCCAAATTCCTGTCCAACAGATGATACTGCCATGCTTTGGGGAGTTAAGTTCTACAACGATTTGCTCATGCAAGCTGGCCCATATGGTAATGTGCAGTCAGAGCTACTATTCCGAAAGGATAAATCAACTTTTACCTTTGAGAAGGGTTGGGCTTTCCCTAGAAGGATCTATTTCAATGGAGATAATTGTGTCATGCCACCACCAGATGCCTACCCATGGTTGCCAAATGCCAGTTCCCGGCGGCTTATCTCCACGCTCAGTTTAGTCATGGCCATACTATCAACCGTGGCATTCTTACACGGATACACCTAAACTTCTTCACTATTTTCCCACGGAAAGTAGTATCCAGAATTTTTTATTGAAACAGTTGAATCCTTTAACATGCAAACCGGCAAAGCAAAAAGTTCTAGTGTCGATGTGCTGATTTGTGGCTGTTCAAGTGGGTCAAGGTGCATTTCAATTGTCAAAATGCTTAGAGGCTCCTTGTTCGATGTAATATTTAGGGAATTTAGTACCATTTCAGTCACCTCTTGTTTCTTGCCTGTTTGTTTCTATACGTTGTCACCGTCATTGTAGATTTTCCACTGTTGTTGTAATATAGTTGTATCAGAAACAAGAGCTGTTTAACAAAGAATATTGAGCTGACTTGTATTCAAGCTTCTGTTCTGATTCATATATTTGATTTTATGAATTCCATGATAAATCCACTATTTTGTTACACAGTGATTTCTTTGGAAAATTGTTCTGAATTTCTATGCCTGTGCCATCGAAGTTTCTTCATTTGAAAACCAACATTCCTTTCAGGCTAGCCCATCGTTCACCAAATGATCGACAGAAGGACAAGCACTGCGGAGGTAAATATTGTGAAGGAGAGAAGCTCCTTTTGATTGGCAGAATTTGGTAGGAATGGGTATGTATCTGGTGGTGGGAGCATGCATTCATCACCGTTGAAGTACACTCTCCTGGGGAACGCCCATCCCTGTTTAAAGGTGAAGGTTTCCTTGTCCTTCTGGAGAAGCACCTCTGACTGAGCATTTCCGAAAGGTCCCGCTTCCATCAGCACGTCGTTGTAGTACTTCAAGCCATAGAACATCCCTGTGTCATCTGCATACAAATATCAACAGAGCTCTCAAAACTCTTGGCAAACAGATCTCTCTGAGTCAAGTAGGAGAAACAGGATTATTAACTCACTTATGGACTCATAGGGAACAACTGGCTTGTAATCAAAACTGAAAACTTGCGTCACGTTGTTCAGATTGGGGTGCTGGACGGCGAGGGTCCAAAGAGAGTAGTTCATCCTGTAGTTGAAGTTTGTGATGGAAATCTTCACACGCCAGTAGTCTTTGTAGTTAAGTTTTACGTGCCAATGAACCCGAATAGGGCACATATGGCGCGTGCACTGAATCAGAGGGGTGTTGTCTTTCCTTGGAGTGTTTACTCCCACCATGTTCAGTATCTTGGAATGACTCCTGTGTCAGCATTGTGTCCTGTAAGATTTCATATACTCCAGAAATGGAAAATTCATGAAAGAAGGTATTGAAAATGGTGGCTTACTTGACACAGTTGCTCTTGTCCTGGCATCCACAGGCACAAGATGGACAAGGTGTGATTGTTTCATTGTAGAAGGACGAGAAAGAGACGCAGCAACTTGGGTTTTTCCTGGCCAGAAACTGTGAATATGTGCAGGTAACATTCCAAGTCACTGCAGAGATTACCAGAACAAAAGGGATTAATCACTGCCGTTAAGAGATCAATACTATTTTTGGCTCTAGCTTAAACTTCTAGAAGAAACTGTTTTAGACATGTTGTGGATCCTAGAAGAACTTACTCAAGGCCTGGGTTTTACGGCGGCGATCAGAGGTAAGGAATGTAGTAGAAGGCACAACCTTAGCAGGGCCACAGGTGTAGCCTGGACCTGGACCAAGTAAGGTGAAGTTCTTGGGAAGTTTAACAGTCTTGTTGGAGGTTCCAGCTTGGCCAATGCTGACCTGGAACTGTGAGACAGCACCCAGAGGATCCTGACCCCATGCTGGAATCACCCCACCTTTGCAACAATTTGCGTACTGCTGGTTGTAAGGCACCCCAGGAAGCAGGTCCACAACTGTCGGGGTTTTCTTGCAGCAATGAGGTATGTTTCCTTTGAACTTGGAGCAGTCACCTTGTTCAGTGGTCTGAGCCCCCACCATGGACCAAATCACCTCTTTCTTAGCCCAGGTCCATCCCAAGGTCCAGCCGGGGTTCATTATGTGCCTGTACATCTGGAAATTGTTTATTGTCACCACAGCCTGCACAGATATTACATGTGATCAACCGACATGTTTCTGAATTTATGTATTGCTGAAAGAAAATTCATGAGATTGAAGTTGCTCCTACCACATAGCCGTCTGGCGTCCATGACATTACATCCCATTTTATGGTTATGTTTCCACTTGGATCCAAAGGATCATATGCAGATGCACAAGAAAAGAGCACTAAGGAAAACAAAACAGAGACAACAAATTTCATTTTGCACAATAATCTGAAACAAACTTTGCAAATTGGATTATGGGGATTTGTTGAATCCAATGTGTTTGCTTGGAGATGGCTATTGGACAAAGTGTTGGTATGTTGTGCATAAGAAAGGCAGAAAATGTGTAAAATAGAATGGTTGGAGACTTACCTACTGGTTGTTAAGTACTTACAGATGTGTCAATCTTCAAATTCTCTGCCTTTTTTTTCTGATTTTGGTCACTTTCCATGTCTTGAAGCAACTGCTAGGGTAGAGAGTACGCAGAAGACTTGAGATGCGCGAGCACAACAGCTCAACGGTTCCATTGAGAATGACTTTGACAGGTAGCATAACATATGGCAGCCTGCAAAACCACTCCATTTCCAACAAAAGACCAAATATTTAAGTTGAGCTTAAATTTCTCCTAAAAAGGAAAAAATCTCACAAAACCAAAATCTTTGAATGTAGGAATAGAATAATGTTCACAGGACATTAGGCCACAGGATTAGTCTGGCTGATAAAAAAGAATTTGGTCTTAGAGTACTCTCAATTTTGTTTATTGAAATGCAACATTTAAAAAGTTACAATAAAAATTTCAATTCCAACATAAATGACGTGTCTTGTTCTAATGCATGTATTGGATTTAAGAAACATATCACATAATTGTAAAACAAACAAATATATATATATATATATATATATATGGAGATATTTTTGTTTTATTAGCACGTTTCGTTGGGGTTAGAAGTAAGAAGGAAGAGTTAGTGGCAAGAAAGCAATGTGTAGGGACAGGTAGTGGGTTTCCCTCAGGTAAAAAGACATCCTAACAAAGGTTGAATGCTTCAACAGGAAAATTTCCCACATGCTGTCTCTGTGTTATTGCAGTCTTTTTGGGATTCTTCTCTCTGTAGTCCCTCCAAGCTTTTGCTTCGAAAATGAACTTGTGCACTTAACAATGGTTCTAGAAAGCCCTGGATGGAAACCTTTTGAAATGGAGTGCGTCATGATTAATACAATTTTTCACCTAAGCATGCTCCTTTGCAAAATAATGAAATTATATATTTTGCTAATATATATTTTTTAAAAAAAAGTGAAAATCAGAACATCTTAATATTAAAATTATTAGAATATCAAATCACAATCATCATTTAAGTGAAATCTACTTAAATGATAATTGTGATTGAATATTCTAATATTTTTAATCTCAAAATGTCTTATTTTTTGCATGCTTTATATTTTTTGTATTTATGATTAAATTATCTTTAGATCAACTTTTACTCACTTCAAAATTATTATTTTTAGACAATTTAAAAGTCACATCTCTTATATTAATTTAATATATTTAAAAAAAATTAATATAAAATAACATTTATTTACTATGCAACCCTTAGAGTTATTTATTTTGCCAATATCATGTCACAAGAAGGGGAGATTACTGACTTGGGTCTAAAGTGTAAAATGGTGGACTTTTGGATCTCTTTTTCCCAAAAACAATAAAAGATTTGGGCTAAACACGATTTGGACTCGTTTCTGTTAAAGTGGGCTTGGGTTGTCTAGATATTTGGCATTTGGGTCTGTCACGGGCTGTGCGAGGTCTTAAAGCAGTCACTGTGGTGAGGTCTGGATTAAAGAAATTGACCAATCAAATCCCACTAATCTTTTCTTTGACTCTTCTCTTGCAAAGAATTGTCAACCTTTCTGTACTTCGTATGAATGTTTCAAAAGTAATCAAGTGGCATTAAACGCGCCTTGGCCGGATTTGCTATATGTTTTATAATAAAGTCCATCCCTTAATTTTAAAATTCAACTTCGAATTTTTTTTCTCTTAAATTGTAAACGGTTTAAAAATAAAAAAAATTAAGTAACATTGAACATTCAAACAAAAAAGAGATAAATGAAGATATTAGAGTCAATACATTTTATTTAATTTTATATCAAATTATACAATAAAATATAACTTTCTCCCTTTATCTTAATTATTGTTCTATAAATTTCATAAATTCAAAACTTCTAAAATTCTAAAGGAGATTTGCCGCTTCTTTCCTTTGTAAGCCCTACTTATTGTCCTATAGATTCCATAAATTCAAAACTTCTAAAATTCTAAAAGGAGATTTGCTGCTTCTTTCCTTTTGTACTGGGTTGGATTGTTCATTTGTTCTTCCTAATTTTGGAAAATAACACAAAATCGAATACCCCACATCATTACGATGCCAAAAATCTTCCTCTGAGATAATCAACTGTCTAGAAGAAGAGAAAATTCTAATTCCTATGTCACAAAACTAATTTTGTAAACAAACCAAAGGATGGTCACAGCTTCATTTCAAAAACAGGAAGCAAGGCACCTGGTTTTTATCCTCTATAGATAAAAGTCAAATTCAATGCTGCCCACTGAAATTTATCATACCATATATGCATACCCACGACCATGTATATAAATGTAGATACCCAGAGAACCAACATAACATTGGAAGTCCACAGTAACCAGCCTGTTGAGAAGAATTTAGATCATCCAGCTTCTTGTGTACAAAAGAAAGAAGACAATTCTCCGATATGGGGCGTTGGATGAAGCCAGAGGTTAGTGGCCTTAAACATATACATATATTTATTCATCTTTTTTTTTTAGAAAAAAAAAAAGTTGTGGAATCCGGATTATTTCCATTAGTTACATAACATAAATCATTAGATAAAATGAAATTCTTGATATTAAAGTTATCTCTAATTTATTTAATAATTCCTATTTTGCAGTTTATTGCAAAACATAACAAACTCCTTATCTTTCGTATTGCTAATTCTTTAAAAATAACCAAACACATACAGGTATATCCACTGATCGGAGCAATGACCTTTGTAACGAGTATGGTCGTCTTCCAGCTCACAAGGAATGTTATCAAAAACCCAGACGTCAGGTAATTTTTTTTCTGTCGAAATCAACATAAAAGTTGGACAATAATCTACACGAAACAAGATTCAAAACTAGTTTCAAAACCTTCAACTTAACCAGTAAAACAAGACATTTAGTGATACTTTCAAAATAATTCTGCCATAATGGAAATTGGTCTGTCCCCTTATTGAAGAAAATCCTATGAAAAAAATAGTTATAGATACAATGATCAAGTCAAAATAAATTTTATTTCATCGTAACAATAGAGAGGATACTCCAATCGATTTGTACAAAATATATATTGTATATTATATATGTTGATTTTGTTATATAATTTTGTAACTATATATGTTATTTTCTTTTCCCTCTTTAATTTTATAGAATCAACAAAGAACACCGGAAAACAGCAGTGCTGGAAAACAGAGAGGAAGGGGAGAGCTATAGAGAACACAGCCTACGAAAGTTCCTGAGAACTCGTCCACCGGAAGTCATGCCAACCATAAACCATTTCTTCTCCGAAGACAAATGATAAAATTATCATCAATTCAAGAGAAACACATAGAAATAATTCATGCTTGTATACTTTTTCATGGAAATATTTGATCAGTGAATAAATAAATTTGATTTAGCAATATTCGTCTTTTATCAAGGATTTTGCAATATTCTGTCATCAATCCAAGTTGCTACCAATGATTATAAAACTTTAATGTTCATGGTTAGCTGATCAGTTGGTAAGATTCAAATTATTTGATACTGCTTGTTTTTAGATTAATTTGAGTCTCCATTGCCTTGGACTGGAGTAACCTCTCTTTATCATATAGTGGGTTTGGATTGATAGAATTAAATAAGGGAAAAAGAAAAGAGAAAAATTCCATCCAATTAAATGAAGACCAAGCCAAAAGTTAACTTTTAATGTAAATGAAAAAAAAAAAATGAAAATGAAAATTCAAATTTACCAATTTAATTAATTTAATATAATGGTTATCAGCACGGGGTGAGTTGGTGTTCCTTATGCCAAAAAAAGAGGTAATAAGTTATTATTTCTAAAATTTACCAAGTAAGTAACAAAATCTAAAATCGTTTCTGTCCCAGGAGCTCACCGTTAACAACGGAGCAAGACATTTTCTTGTCAATGCCTTGTTTTAGAATTCTTGTATTGGCAGGATAATAGGGAAAACAGAGGGAACTGAAATCTTAATATAGATGTGTGTCTACCTCCACTCATTCAAAACCGTATTTTTCTAAAAATATCTTAGAAAACCCAATATAAATACCGAGTTCATGAAGTCACAAAACCAAGGAGATCTATCCTTCCAATTTGAAAGCTTTACTTAGGAAATCATGGGTGCCGTTGTGGGCACCTCTATTCTCCTTTTCTTGCAATTTTTCTCCCTTGTTCATGGAACTTTTGCCCGGGGACCTCCTCCAGACATATGGCCAAAGGCTCTCCTGAAATATTTGAGCTCAGGGGACAATATTACCATTTATGTTCCGGCTCTTTATGTTTTTGGTGATGCAACTGTCGATGCTGGAAATAGTCCACATTTAAATCCAAATAAAATAGGTGAATTAATCCCATATGGACAAAATCTTCCTGGAATACCTAAGGGACGTGTTACCAACGGAAGGACCATAGTAGACTTCATTGGTACGTATACACAAAAACAAAATAAACACTAGACATTCTTTTTTCCTTTCTTCTCCCTTTTTTTTTTTTTTGTGTGTGTGTGTACTGATCATCCATGTTAGGCATTTTGTTTACGTAATAATGTCCTCAATTTGGATTTTGATGTTTCAAATTGCAGCTCAATTGGTTGGCTTGCCATTCCCTCCTCCAGCATTAGGCATGTCCGATGCAGAGAAGCAGAACACTAAAACTGGGATCAATTATGCTTCTCAATCCTCTTCCATTAATTCTTATGTGCCCCGTGGCGTGGAGGCATCGGTGGTAATTAACACAACATTAATTCTTGTTTATAAATAATTTTTTTACTGTATAAAAAAGTTAACTATTTGGCATCATAATATTTTAAATTTCTTATTTTGATCTTAAATTAAAAATTTTAAATTAATAAATATTAACTTGATTAAACTCTTATTGGAATTGTTTAATTAAAATTTTAAATGGACTAACTTCTCTTACATACATAGGGTAAGTCATTGTGTTTCGACCAACAAATAGGCTTGTTCGAGAACACAATTCAAGACCTAAAGACACAATTTAGAAGCAACGAAGACTATTCGCAGTATATGTCTAAATCGCTCTTCTTTATCAACATCGGAAGCGATGACTTTGCTCTAGCCTGGGATATGGAATTCAACCGTAACAACACTCCCGATGCCTATGCTCGTTCCATTTCGAACATGACACGGAGACAATTACGGGTAACTTTATGTATTTTTAGTTCTTCTAATTCATTCACAATCGATTTTTATTTACTTTATGTTTCTATATGGAGCTTAACATTATTTTTGTCAAAATGGCACAGAGATTATATCGGCTTGGAGCGCGAAAATTTGTTGTGAACAATGTTCCCCCCTTGGGGTGTCAACCATTCAATCTTTATAGGAAGCATGTCACCACAGGTTGTGTTGAGGACATAAATGAGTTAGTGTCTACTTATAACAAACTTCTTGCGGATTTACTCGCAAAGCTGCAATCCACACTTCCAGAATCGAAGTTCGTTCTTGCTGATGCCTATAAGGTGTTTGAAGATGCAATCGCCTTTCCTAAATCGTATGGTAAGTATATATAGATGAACCCAAAAATTCTGTTTGCACATTTCCCCCCCTTTTTTTTTAGTGGTCAAATGTTTCCAGACCAATAAAAGTAAATTATATATATTAAAATTAAAGAATTTATGAAAAATTATATTTTTATTGAACTTTCAATAAATTAATACTTAATCAACATAATGATGAATAAATTTTCTTACCAACTAATTAAAGCTACAAATGCTTGGTTGTGTACAAATTTCTTTCACACACATAATGATGCATGTTTGATGCGCAATTTTTGGTGACATTGAAAATGATTGAATTTTTTTTTTTTTTTCTCTGCGTGCAGGATTTACTACTGCAAAGGATGCATGTTGTTCCGCGCCGATACCTGAGCCTTCTATGCTAGTGTGCAATGCCTCGACGCCAGTATGCGAAGAGCAAAATGCACGTCTCTATTTCGATCCTTCCCATCCAAGTGAGCGCATGCATTTCGTATGGGCAAGTCGTTTATTGATTGATTCCTCTGTTTGTTCACCGCTCAACTTGCTCCAATTAATGCAAGCTTAGACAACATAAGTGAGCATACATAAATAAAGATCATGTAGATCTCACCTTATGTATTCAATTTTCAAGAAATTAAGGGAGAAAAATGTATGAAAAGTTCTTTTTTCATAATAATTTTCTTGTTCATGTCAATCTCAAATTCGATCATGAGATTTAAAATTTTAAACTCATATAAAGATATCAAACTATCGACAACATCATAACCATTAAGCATCTAAATGGCTATCTAGATTTTTATTATAATATATGAGTATATTAACTTTCTATCCAATCAATTTTATGAGTATTTGTAAATTATTTTATCCATAAAGATACAAGAATCTTCTTTTTTAAATGATGTGATTTATTAAAATTATTTATATCTAAATAATAATAAAGAGATTTAAATCTTACACACCATCAAATATTCCTCACTTTCTCATAAAAATAAAAAATAAAATTTCCTCACTCCTTATCATCATTAAGTTTTTTTTTTAGTATCAATCAATTCCCATCTCTTATTTATTAATTCTCATATATTTTGCCTATCTAGAAATTAACAACAACTAGATGTAGGTCGGATCGATCTGAAAAATAAAAAAGAGCTGTTGGTTGGACCAAATTAGGGTGGCTGACATGAAAGGAAGATAATATGGATTAACTAGTTTTGTTCAACTTTAAGGCTTTATTTGAGAATTAATTTGGTGCTTTAGCTTTATATATATATATCTTCATTATCTTTAAAATATTAATTAAAATAAATATTAAATATATTTGTGTATATTTGATATATTAAAAAATTAAAAACATCTACAAAATACAATTACAGCCTATCGTTCTCAAATGAAGTCTAAAATTATTTAGACTTCTTTTCCAGCTAATTTAAGATAATTTGTAATTTTTGTACAAGATTAAATGTGAATTCATCAAAATAATATTATGGGTGAGTCTTTCTTTTATATATATTTTAAGCTAGCAAAATTATATGTAATTTAAACTAAACTCTTGAAGATATATAAATCATCTATAAAAAGAAATTAATAAAAGTTTAGCTGAATTATTAATAATTAAAATTTTTTAATTTAAACTCAAAATTAAAATTTTGAATCTTTATGATTTGAATCTTTATGATATTGAATAGTTTACATAAGAGAAAAATACCAAAAAATCCGTTCAATCAAGTAAGTGATAGTCCTCCTAAATTAAGAAAAAAAATCATTTTCTTTTTCCCTCTTTTTGAAAAAAAAAAAAAAAGCTTAAAATTAAGCACCATATGAATCATATTATATAATCCTCCCCAATGTTCATCTTCACCCAATTCATTTAATCCGAGTGTTCAAATATAGTAACAAAAAAAAATCACGAATGTATAATATTTATAATATTTTTATAAAACAAATATATTTATAATTTATAATATTTTGTATAACCATAGTAATTCTTTGCGTAAACATACCATAACCCCACAAATAACATGATTTATCCTCTACGATGTTCCCCACTTGATTGTCACCCAATTCGTCTAATCCGACGGTTCAAAAATTATGTCAAACCACAGATGTGGTCTTTTATCATCTGCGTATGCACGGTGTATGATAGACTTGAACACATTGTATAAGAACCCACTTCAAACTTGATACTTGAAAGCATCTCCTTGACTTCTTGCGACTTCGTTGTCTTCGTTCGGACAGCCTAACTGCTTCCAGCTTCGTTCATTCTTGGTATATTCTACGTCCATGCTTGTTTCTCAGTAAAGCTTCATTCTGTTTCCTTCGTTTTCTCAGCCATTAATACTGAGAAAACATACGTTTCTTTTCCCAAGAAAAACCCATCTCCCTCACGATTCATTACCAATAATTAATCTTCTTCGTAACTTTCCCTTTGCAATCTCTTTACATGGGTCCTTATCAAAATTGGATTTTGATTACTGCGTTTGCTTTGTTTCTCAGTCTTGCTGCAGCTTGCTCCAATGGAGAGTGCAGGGTTTGTGTCATCTTTTTCTATTTATGTTTCAATGGATATATGGGTTTTTTTTTTTTTATTTACTGCTTGATATATATGTTCATGTTGTGTTTATTGAAATTCCTACCGGACTCTGTTTTCAATATTCTAGCTTCTTGATGAATGTTTATCGGATGGAGATTGTGAGGCTGGACTCTACTGTTTTTCTTGCGGTCAAGGATTTTCAGGCTCCAGATGTGTGAGATCCACCATTACAGACCAATTCAAGCTCCTGGTATCTCTCTCTCTCTCTATTGTTAAGGAATATGTTTAGTTAAGCTCTGTTTATTACATGACATGAAGATGATGATACATGAAGTTTAGGATAAGCAAGCTTCGAGGGACCTCTCTCTAACGTTAATGAATATTTGAGCTCTGTTTATTGCATGAAATGAAGATGATGGCACATAAGGTTTAGGATAAGCAAGCTTCCAGGAAGGTCCCTAACACTTATTGCATAAGCTTTGAAATGATTGCCAACAGTTTGTGCCTAGGAGGGGACCCGGGGTCATTTTCCGATGTCCCAATTTGGTCACTTTCTGGATTTATGTGTTTCAACAAATGCTAAAATCTTTTTATTTTTTCTATGTTTCCTGGACAGAATAATTCTCTTCCTTTCAATAAATATGCATTCTTGACGACTCATAATGCTTATGCCATTGATGGATATCCATCTCACACTGGGGTGCCTCGAGTCACCTTTACAAATCAAGAAGATAACATCACTCAACAGTTAAATGTATGTTTGTCTCTCAGAATTCTTGTCATGGATTAATTATG